AACAACGGGGAACTCACTATTCACAAAGCAGGGTATGAGAAAGGTGTCCCTGCCCCCACCCCGATTCTCACACCTAATCCTTTTCAAATGAAGACAAACTTGTTCTTGACCCCTCCTCACCCACCAGTGCACAAGTGCACACTCCCTCCCTCTCTCTGCCCGAGCTCTGAGATCAACTTCTCTTCCGAATCAGGTCCCTGAGGAATGATGTTACGTAGCTGCAACCTGGAGGTCTCAGGGCAGGGTGCAGTAGGCTTGGGGGGACCAGGCTGTTGGCTTTGCTCATTTATTCACTTGGAAACCCTTGTTGAGCACCTACAATGTGCCAGACCTTATGGTAGGCACGGGGCGCGGGGTGTGCAATGGTAAGCAAACCCAAATATGATCCCTGCCCTCTGTTCACAGTGCAGAGGAGAAGCAAGACTCTGAAGAGATAATTAGCAGTCTCTGAGTGATACAAAGGGCAAGGCCCGCCGTTGTTGATGCTCCTGGGAGGGAGTGACTTTGAGGCCACAGGAAGCCCTCTCCAATGAGAGAGCAGTTTTTAAGCCAGGAGTGAAAGTGGTCTTTTACAAACTGTGAGTAGCAACCCATTAACGAGCCGTGAAACCAATTTAGTAGTCGTGACTGGAATGATAGAATAGAGGAATTTAAAACATCACACCTAGGAAATACTGATTTGAGAAATGTTAGTTTTAGTTCTATCTCTATGTATCTTTCTAACAGATAATGTTATGGATTAGGATATTAAATGTATTTCTTCCTGCAGGTCTTGATCAAAAAGGTTTGAAAGTCACCAGCCTGGACTTTGAGGCAGAATCAGTCATGAGAAAATGGCGGCGACACACCCACCGGCGGAGGGAGCAGCACCTGTCCTGGCCCAAAGAGGAAGCGGCGGGAGGAAGACACGCCAAGCCCAAGGCCGGCCAGGTCCCGTGGGCGCCGGGGAGCTGCGGAGGTTAGGTGTGCTCCCCTCCTCTTCCCCGGGGCCCCACCACAGGAGGACAAGGGGGACTGCAAGAAGCTGGCTCTGCCTGCCAGACCCTGGACCTTCAACCTTCTCTGCCTCCACCTGGGCTTCGACTGTCCAGATGGCCTGTCCTTTGAGCTGGGGTTCAGCCAGCCGCTGGGGAAAGATTTCTGGGTCAGACAGACCTGTATCCATAGCTCGTCTCTTCTACTCACCAGCTCTGTGGTCTTAGGAAACGCTCATAACCTCTCTGTGCCTCAGTTTCCTCCCATATAGAATGGGGCTAAGGTGCCCCTCCCCCAAAGTCCTCGTGAGGATTTTGGTTGAAGCCCAGATGTCCCCAGGGCTTTTGTCCTCTGGGCTATCCACTTTGCTTGCACAGAGAATAGTGTTGCCAGATTTAGCAAATAAAAATACAGGACACCCAGTTAAACTTCAATTTCAAATTACAGATAATTTTTCAGTATAAGTCTATCCCACATATTTTACTTATGCTAAAATTTTATTATCTATCTGAAATTCAAATTTACCTGGGCATCCCGTATTTTATCTGGCCACCCTACATAGAAATCGAATGGCTTGCCCTCTGTGCCGGGGCTGCATGGATCCCACACCCGAGATACTGCTCAGGGTGTCGGAGGGGCCCGAGCCCCCGCCCCCCAGCAGCTGCTGCCTGGGTCTGCTCTCTTCACTCAGCCCACCTCACCTGACTGGGAGTCTGCCCTGTCCCTTCTCCCTCATTCCCCAGTGTTCCCGCCTCCAGGCTGTGGTGTGTGACCCACTTTTAGCGACCTTGTGGGGAGGATGGAGGGCATCTGCAGCTCAGCTCGGAGCAGGAAACACCTGCCTCAGCTGCCAGACAGCAGGGTCCGGAGTGCCACCTCGGCGCTGCCTCTGTGCTCCCCGCCAACAGCCTCCTCCCTGGCCCGGCTGTCTCCCGTCCTCTGCTTTTCCAGGGCTCAGCCCCCTCCTTCCAGCCCCCAGCAAACATCACCCAAATCCTTATATTTTGTGTTATTACTCAGAGTCCTTTAGCGGTCTTTCTCACTCCTTTCCCATCTTGATTATTTCAGGAGGTAATACAGGGACTCACTTTCACAATCCAGCGTCCTCTTGCAGCCAGACTCCCGGGGTTCTAATTCTCACTGGCCAAAAATTCTGGAGACGACGGCGGAGAACCTCGTAAGAAACGGTGCATAGCTGCACTCCCGCTGGCCCCCGGGGGCGGTGCTGTGCAGGAAAACCCTGGGGACCGAGTCAAGGGGGGACTTGGGGCAGTTGGCCTCTGAGTGTGAAGAAATTTTAGGGCTGCAGTTGACCCTTGAACCGCACGAGGATTAGGGGTGCCAGCCCCCATGCCGTCGAAAACCCACGTGTAACTTTTTACTCCCCCGAAGCTTTTAACTGCAAATGGCCTAATACTGGCCGGAAGCCTTACTGATAGCATACACAGTCAATTAACACATAGTTTGTATGTTGTGTGTATTACATACTGTATTCTGACAATAAAATAAAACGTTATTAAGAAAATCATCAAAAAGAGAAAATACATTGACAGCAATCATTGGAAACAAGCCACATAGAAGTGGAGCCCTGCAGTTCAAACCCCCATTCTTCAGAGTCAGCCGTCCACGAGCCAATCTCTTTTGCTATACTTTCCTTTTTTATGCACGCCCAAGGGAGATTTTGACTTAAAAAACTGATATCTAAATAAATAAAAAATATTTCTAAAAAATTCTTTAAAATTTAAAAATAAATAAATAAATAATACACATTGGTAAAAAAACAAAAAACTTGTTCAGGTCATTTTCCTTTACTTGCTTTTTATTTTTATTTGTTATAAAGCGGCGTCCTCACCATTTTAAGTGCGCAGTTCAATGGCATTAAGGACACTCGCGTTGTCACGCAACGTTTGCTTCATCCGTCTCCCAAACAGAGCCTCTGTCAGACTCTCGGTAGTAGCATCGTGCACTGGATGGCACTGTGAACCTCACAAAGTCACCACTTAGTGGTCACTGGAGACAAAATGCGTTAGCCCATCATCCCGATACGCCAAGGTCATGGGTTCGATCCCCAGTCAGGGCACATACAAGAAACAGCCAATGAACGCATAAATAAGTGGAACAACAGATGAATGTTGCTCTCTCCCTCTCAAATCAATAAATTAAAAGAAATAAAGTAAAAAACATAGCCCTCCCCTTGGGGAACTCCCATATCAGCCAGGAGCAGTACTTGAACCCTGTGGCTTTGACAGGACCACCTTCTCTCTCCCTTGGCTCAAAGGCAAAGGGTAAGGACCTGGTCGGGACTGGCGCCCTCCCCTCCTCCCAGACTGAGGCCCAGGAGGCAGGATGGAGGGAGGGGCATCTGCATTCAGGATGCAGCTGAGCGTCTACCTGTGTGTCAGGCACTGTTCTAGGCACTGGAAACGCACCAGAGGACAAGCCCCACAAGAATTCCTGGTTTTTCTGATCTTCCATTTCACCTGGGTCATCTTCTTCCTTACCCTCCTCCTTCTCTTTCCCTGCCTCATTACAGGATTCACTAGTCCCAGTATACACTCGGATGACGCATTCTCAACTGCAAAATATTTCCCATCCATTAGCTTGCTCCATCCGCAAAACAACTTTGTGGGGTGGGCATCATTACTCCCATTTTCCAAATAAGGAAACTGAGGCTCGGTCTGTGACTTGGCAGTGTGGGGCGTGGTAGAATGCTCTCTAGATCCGGTTCCTGTCCCGGCTCAGCCGCTGACCTGCCGGACCACCTTGGAGGAGTCGATGTCCCCCTGCCCAGGCCTCGATGTCCCCCTGTGAGAAAACAGGAGGGGCTCTGCTCTACAGTCCGCCACCTGCCCAGGTTTCCATTCCTGGGACTCTAACTTGCCTGGGGACTTGCAGCTCAGCTGGTAGAGCAGGGTCCGGAAGCTGGTGCTCCTGACTCCATTCTGAGCCTGACCCTGCCTTTGCTGGGGGGGGCGGGCGGGGCTGGAGGGATGAAGGAAGAGCGGGGAGTGGGGGGGGGGCCTCCCAGACCTCCAGAGGGTGCTGGAGTCCGTCACAGCTTCTGGAGCCCTAACGTGTGAGTGTGAGTGAGTGTGAGTGTGAGTGTGAGGAGCCCTAACGTGTAACGTGTGAGTGTGAGGAAACGTCGACTCCTTCTCAGAGTATAAATAAGACTGTTACTAATAGCAGGTTTTAACTGATGACTTACTGTGGGCCAGACACTGCTTTGAGCAACTGGTGCACATTATTTTATTTAATCCCCCAATTTGATAAGGTAGCTTTATTATCACTTTTCCGCAGAGACAGACAGGAGGGGCTCACAACGACTACTGAGGGTGATGCTGGAATGCAAGCTCGCAGGCCTCACCCCCAGGTTGGCCCCATCCGCAGGGTCAGGGTCTCAATGCCACGGGAACTGCCCTGCCTCCAGGCCAGGGCAGCTGCTGTTTGGCTGGGGTTCTAGGGAGGAGGTGAAGCTTAACGACTTACGGGTGATCAACTGCAAGAAAGCAAGTGCCGAGGAGAAACGGAGGCTTTCGGCCTTGGAAGGTTCGTGTCACAAGCCAACCAGTTGTTTCCCATTCCCCTCAAGAAGAAATAACTGGAGGTCGGACAGCAGGGAAAACTCCTCCGTCACTAGAAGAGGGAGCGTTGACATCCTCTCTCCTGGTCAGTTTTGGATGAAGCGTTGTGCCTGCCTCGGCCGACAGTTTGAGGCAGAGAGCGGGGCTGTGGCACAACCTCCTACAGAATCCCCATTCACAGAGCCTGTGGGGGCTGGGGGAGGCCCTGGGGCAACAGCCCCGGGGTAACCAGGGGAACAAACACGGAAAACCAGGGGACGTCAGTCCTTATCTGGAGCTCACTAATGGGGAACATTAGTCAGCTGTGAAGGCCAAGATGGGGTGATAGGCATGCGGTGGGCAGGGGTGGGGAGTGGGGGCAGGGGGAAGCCACAGGGGAGAGGAGGTACTCGTCTAGACTCCACCTCTGCCCCACGTGTCTGAATGCAGGATGGAAGGGCCCTGTAAATGCCCGTGGCCCCGACTCCCCAGAGTCCCAGAGAGAGAGGCAGAGAGAGAGAGAGGGAGGGAGACAGGGACGGCTGCAAGCCTCCTGCCCCCGAGACAGCCGGGCCAGCCCACCAAAGGCTCCACAGCATGTGGGAGCTCCGGTCCATAGCCTTCTCCAGGGCTGTGCTGGCGGAGTTCCTGGCGACGCTCCTCTTCGTCTTCTTTGGCCTGGGCTCAGCCCTCAACTGGCCGCAGGCCCTGCCCTCTGTGCTACAGATCGCCCTGGCCTTCGGCTTGGCTATCGGCACCCTGGTGCAGGCGCTGGGGCACGTCAGTGGGGCCCACATCAACCCCGCCGTGACTGTGGCCTGCCTGGTGGGCTGCCACGTCTCCTTCCTCCGAGCTGCCTTCTACGTGGCTGCCCAGCTGCTGGGGGCAGTGGCAGGTGCTGCTCTGCTCCATGAGATCACACCAGCAGACATCCGAGGGGACCTGGCTATCAACGCAGTGAGTAGCCAGAGCTTCATCTCTTCCACGGGGCAGATCCTGGGAATCCCTTGTCAAGGATGAGATGGGAGGGAACAGATCTGGGTGAGGGTCTGCACGCAGGGGCGGGGGGCGGGGACTAGCAGGGTGGAAGAACAATAGTGCCAGGGCTGAAGCAGACACCTGGGTCTGCTGGCACCTCCCGCCTTGAGTCTCGTGGAGGATGACCAGCATCATGGTTTCTGTCGGACTTAATGCCTGCATTTTAGTGAGGACTGGGCTAGAAGCCGGCAGACAAAAGGGTCGCCAAGTACACCAGTTTTCCGAGCTGGAGGGAAGCTCAGAGTGTGAGTCCCGAGGGTCTTATAGAGGGAAAAAGGACCCAACGTTTCTTCAGCATCCACCGTGTGCAGGCCTCCCGGTAGGGTTCCTCGCGAGCCTCGCACTGACACCTCGCGTCAGCCTTGCGAGGCAGGGATGGGGATACCCTTTCTGAAGAACCCAGCCATGGAAGCTCAGAGAGGGGAAGTGCCAAAGCCAGGCTTCAAACCCAGGCTTGGCCATAAAGCCCACGATTTCCAAGCTGAGCTGTCATCTAAGCTTCTTTTGCAAACAAAGAAACTGAAGCCCAGAGAAGGGAAGCACAAGCTAAAAGTTCTGCACTGCGTCCGTACCAGAGAAAGCACCAGGACCAGGGGAAAGCTGAAGGGGCACAGTCTCTCCAGACACCGGGAGCCTGCAGGCTAACCAGGCTAATGCCGATCTCTGGAACAGGGGCTAATGCGACACCTTGGGTGCTGTGGGAGCTGAGGGTGATGCTGTGCGCCCCTCTCGCCGCTACACCCCCACCCTCCCTTCTCTTGGGTCTGTGCAAGGCCTGGGCATGGGAGGCGTGGGTGGGGTGGGGCGGTCTGCGTGCCCTCAGCAGAGCTCTCACTCCAGCCCCCATCCCGAGCCCAGACAGCTGGTGCCTCTTCCACGCTAGAGTTTCCTGCCTTTCTCAACCCGCTCTGTTCCTGGGTCATGAGATAAGCCCTCCTATGTCTCTGAAGAGTCCCGCAGTCCCCATGGCCACCCCCTCCTCTGCATGGGTAGCCCTTTCTCACATGAGGGGCAGAGGTGTCCCAACTGGGGAACTTCTCTCTTCTTCCAAATGGAAAATGTGATGAGGCTGGGGACTTGGGTTGAGAAAAGGCTAGAGTGACCGAGACAGGGGACAGACTGAGGAATGTGACCATTTCCACTGAGAACAAAATTAGTTGGCAGCACGGAGAGGCTGAGTTAGACTGAAAGAGGAACTTCCTGAGAGCACAGTCAAGAAAGTCCCGGAATGTGACCAGAAAATGTCCTCTATGAGCAGGGCCATGGGGTTGCTAAGGGGACATGGGGACACTCAGTCCTCATCCTCCATCATTTCACAGTTGACCGAAGCCCTCAGAACAGAAGGTTCCCTCAAGTTATTGCTCATCATTTACTATATTGAGTAACTGAGGAGAACTCTGCCTGGCTAGAAAGGGGCATCAGAGGGGCTGAATTACCCTGAGGCTCCAGGGTGCCGGGTGACTTTCAGGTTGTCTCAGGTATCCTCTGAGGTCCCTAGAAAGGCCAGCCTGGCGGCCGGAAAGTCACCACTGGTGTGCACCTGCCCTGTGCTGGATATCACCTCGCCCCTGGTAAAACGCCACAGCTCTGCGGCCCTGCACCACGGGCAGTAAATTTAGGCTCAGCATTCAACTGATTCAAGCCACAGAGCCAGTAGGTGTCAGCACCTGGAAATGGACCCAGAACTGGGTGACACCAAACCCGCATCCACGCTGTCTCCCTCTGAGCAGCCGTTCACCAGCAGGAACGGGTTGGGGCTCTGCCTTCGTCATCTCCAGTCCTCACACAGTCCTTCAGAGTTTTGTTATCCCCATTTTACAGGCGGACAAACTGAGGCTGAAGTAAACACGGTCAGTCAGAGGCCTCTGAAGGAGCTGCCTCCAAAGCTCTTCTCACGGTCCCCCACTAGAGGCTCTGGCTTTGGACCACAGGGGATTGAGGTTCGATCTCAGAGAGACCCAAGAGTGACAGCTCCATGACTAGGACCCAGGGGTGGGGGTTCAGGGCCTACAGAAGGAGCGTGGGAAGTGAGAGCTGTCACAGCTCCACCCGGTTCAGTGCCCAGCCCCAGAGGGCAAGGTGTAGGGCACAGGATGACAAAACCCAGAGAGAGATCCAGTGCTGGGTGTGGCCCGGTTGTGAAATTACCTCTTTGCTTAGCCCAAGTTCTCTCGTTACCCGAAGCAGGGTCTGCTGGGCCCTGGGCACCCCACGTGGGTATGGAAGCATCGCAGTGTAGGGCTCCGGCCCCCCAGCCACCCCGCCTCAGCCTCCCAGTGACGTGCAGGGAGCAAACCCACAGGCAAAATCGAGGCCTGAGACACAGTGGGGAAGAAGCAAAGGTTAGAGGAAAGAGTCGCATGCTAGACTCATGCAGGGAGGGGACACACTAGGAGGAACTCAGACCTAAGTCCCCAGACTCTATTCCTGGGACCTCTTCGATCACGAGAAGAAAGAATAAGCTTCTTGTTATACCAGTATCTTAAGGCCTGGGAAGAGAGGGGGGCCTTCCTGTTACCTGGCCTAACGCTTCCTGCTGTATTCAAAACCTCTTCCCTGTTGCTCTTCAGAAAACAGAAACTCTGGACTCAACATCCTTTTTTGCTCACACTGTAGGTATACAACCCCAGCCCCAACTCTAAGAGTCATGGAGTCAGTTTTCCCACCTCTGGCTGGGGAACCGCAGGGACTCTTGGGGTCCATCCCTCTGCCTTTGGGCCTCAGGCCCAGGAGGACACTGTCCATAGTTTGGACCCAGGTGGCTGCTGAGTCCACGCATTCTGGCTCCCAGCTAGCCCGGAGCCTCTCTGGGGTCTTGGCTGTCGGTGGGCATGCTCATTATTCCCCCGCCCACCCCTCTCTGCCCCCAGCTTCACAACAACGTAACAGCCGGCCAGGCCGTGACTGTGGAGCTCTTCCTGACCCTGCAGCTGGTGCTCTGCATCTTCGCCTCCACAGATGAGCGCCGTGGAGACAACCTGGGCAGCCCTGCCCTGTCCATTGGCCTCTCTGTGGCCCTGGGCCACCTCCTGGGGGTAAGTCAGCGCTATGGTTCCAGCCTAGCTGGACATACACTTTCCCCCAGAGAAACAGACCCATGGACCACCCTGGGGACAGATGCACAGAATATCCCCAAATTACAGGCACAAAGACTCCCGGAAAGACAGATACAGACTCCCACAGGGGACAGACACACTCCAGAGGGTTTGACTGTCACATCCCCCAAAGGGACAGATGCCAACCGCACCAACCTCAAAGGAATCCGGAGCCTTGTAAATATCACATGAAGTTCCTTGCCATTGGCGCGGACACTCTTTAGGTTGAGGTCAAGCACAGGTGAGGGCGCAAGGCCTCCCTGTCCGTTGTCCTCATCCCCCACCTCCCCTCGACTCCAACTCCCGCTGCAGATCTACTACACCGGCTGCTCCATGAACCCTGCACGCTCCCTGGCTCCCGCTGTTGTCACGGGCAAGTTTGATGATCACTGGGTAAGGCCGAGACCTCCCCGCTTGTCCTCCCCTCCCCCCCAAACCTGGGCCCCCCCCCCCGATGCTGACTCAGTTTCCACGTCTGTAAGCGAGGACAACGGCAGTTCTGGCATCACGGGCTTTTGGGAAGGATTAAGTGAGGTTACGGATGTAAAAAGACCTTTCAGTGCCTTAGAACTCGATAAACGGTAATAGTTATGCTCACATATTTTTTTAGCACTTAAGTAGTGCTTAGTATGTGCAGGCCTTAGTCTAAGTGCTTTGCAAAGTTAGTTCTCACAGCCAGGCGGTCGGCGTTACTGTGACGCAGGGAAACAGGCGGAGAAGGGTGAGCGACTTAGACTCCAAGTTCACCCAGGCTGCGCGCTTGAAAACTCGCACGCAACCCCCAGTTCGCAAGTCTTTCGCAGCAGCTCGAGTTGTCCCTTCGAACTCCGTGACAGGCGCTTTACAAGCGTGTGAGGCCCGGTCCCCACAGGAGGTGGGGCGGCCCCGGGGCCGGACGCTCGCGGGCAGCCGGCCCCGCTCCCCCGGGTCCCCGCCCCCGCGCCAGCCGCCCTCCCGCTCCCCTCAGGTCTTCTGGATCGGACCCCTGGTCGGCGCGGTCTTGGGCTCCCTGCTCTACAACTACGTGCTGTTCCCGTCCTCCAAGAGCCTGTCGGAGCGCTTGGCTGTGCTGAAGGGGCAGGAGCCGGACACCGACTGGGAGGAGCGCGAGGTGCGGCGGCGGCAGTCGGTGGAGCTGCACTCGCCGCAGAGCCTCCCCCGGAGCAGCAAGGCCTAAGCGCCCCGGCCCAGCCACGACGGCCCGGCCTCGGGCGCAGGGGAGCTCGTGCCCGGGCTCCAGGGACACCCGTCACTCCCTGCCGGCCAGCCCGAGGCAGCAGGGCCTGCCCGCCCCTCCTGTCCCCGCGTGCGAAGTGACCCCCAGTGCAGAGCAGCTGCTTCCAGGACGCGCAGGCCTGGCCAGGGTTGCCCAGCGGTGGTGAGCCTGGCAGACGCCTGTCCAGAGGCTGCAGGCTGGAGAGTGGTCGACACTCTGGCTCCTCGCAGGGGGCTGTGGACCTGGGGACAGAGCTGGGCGAGGAGGGCAGATGAGCAGCAGAGGAAGATTCTGGAGAGCCCGTCCCCAGGAGTGGGTGGGGGTCGGGGAGGAGTACACAGACCCGGCCTTGCGGGGTCTGGGAACGGGTGTTACAAGTGTGCAAATGTGTGTTCATTCCCAAGTGCCTCTCTGTCCCCAACTGCTGTGTTGTGCATGCTTCTGAGTGTGAACAGGTGGGCCTGTGGTGGTGCAAGTGTCCGCTGGCTGGTGACCTCTCACTTTTCCCTTGATCCCTTCTTCCCCCACCATAATAAATCCACTTCCTCTGCGTGGATCAGTCCTTGCCGCACCGTCCTCAGGAGTGCGTGCTCCCCGGAGAAGGGCGGGGTCTGGAGGTTGCTTTGAGCAGGCTGACATAACCCGATTCCACTACTCTGCCTCTCCTGGAAAATTCCCCCTCGCTGTGGCACTGGGAGGGCAGACTTGTCAGGACCCAGAGCTGGAACCAGAGAGCTATCAACTACAGACCGGCTCCCCCAGAAGTGGCCTTTGGAAGACAGGAAAAAATCGGGTGGCCAAGGGCCTCCTTTCTGCCCTGAGGGAGGACCTCTCCTAAGGAGGAAGCAAGTGTGTGTGTGTGTGTGAGTGCCTGTTCGTGCCCAACATGTGTACAGGGGACCCCCATCTCTCAGGGGCTCCAGAGATTAGCCTCCCACTGTGACAGAGAAAACAAAAAGTCTTTATGGGCCCCTGGCTTTTGTCTCGGGAGAGGGGGAGATTTGCAACTAGACACTTCTTGAAAGGAGACACTCCGTTTCGCAAGTGAGCCCTCTCACCCAGCACACACCTATGGCTGGCTGGGCAAGGCACTTCGGCATGCACGCCACCGCAGCACCAGGCAACACCCCCGCCCCGTCACCCAGGCAGCGCAGGCCCCTCTCCCCAGGCAGCAGCTCTTCCACTCCAGGAGCCTCTCCTCCCCTCCCTCCTCCTCCTCAGCCCCACCTTGGGACAGTTACTGTGGGGAGAGCAGCCTAGCACTCCCACGACCAGAGAAGGGAAATGACTTGTCCAGGCAGAGGCAGGTCTGTGCCTCGAGCCTGGGCTTCTAAATTTCCAGGCCAGTGCATTGGTTCTCAAACGAGATTAATTGGGATTAAGTGAGATGGTGCATGTCAAGATGCCATGTGAACTGTAATTCCTCATACCATTAGCACTCCGTGTTGAAATCATTTCATTATTTCTGCTTCCTGGGGCTAGAATGAAGAAGGGGTCCACCCTCCACCTCTTTTACCTCCTTTAGGTGGTAGTCAGAGCAAAGGAGAGCCCTGGGAGCCCCAAGGGGCACACAGAAGGACACGGGATTGGGTCTGGCCCCTTCCTGGTCCAGTCTCAACCTCCCCTGACCTGAGTGCACACTGGCTGTTCTCTCCTTTCTTTCCTCCCACCACCCAGACCAGCCATTCTCTCCTCCCTCTCCAGCCTGCTGCATAGCTAAGCTAAGAATCACACCTTGAGACCCATCTGCGTGCTCTCTGCTGCCTGCGTGCTGTCAAAGCTTTTCTCTGTATCCGCACCGAGCACCCACTGTGCACTGAAGTCTCCAGCCCCTCCCTGCCCTCTTCTCCCTTCAGAGACCGACTGAGTATGAGGAACATTTCTGTTATTGTGCCTACCTATGCATTTGTCTTTTTTTGCCTCCCTTTGGGGTCGGAAAAAAGGCTGCCCTGGGTCATACGTCCTATGGAGATGATTCTCCCAAACCCCAGGAAATCTGGTGGCAGCCACCTGGCCTCACTCCTGGGGGATGGGTTAAGTTAAAGACCAAACTAACCTCCAAGACAGTAGTCCTGGTAGCCGAGTATCCTTGCTCTACAAGTTCAAAGACAGCAGGGCACAGAGCTGCGAGCCAAGCCTAGATGTGTCTGAGGCACCTCATCTCTACCCCACCTCACCTCACCTCAACAGATCCCTATAGAAGTTGTCAAGAATTTCTATGTCTGTTCCACTTTCTGGATTTCAACTCCCCCAGAACTAGGCATGAGATCCCCACATTTAGCCCTGATTGCCCAGGTTGGGGTCCCTAAGGTCAGAGGTCAAGGCAGGATTCAAATGATGGGGGCAGGGAGAACGGACACCTATTGAGCATCTCTTGTGTCCCAGCCTCTGTGCTGGTGGGTCCCTCAATCCTCCTAAAAGTTCAGGCAGGTGAGGGAAGGACAACGGCCCCTTATCCCAACCCTGCGAGGCAGGCAGAGCAAATACAGTCAGTCACGTGCTGCACAACGACTTTAAGGTTAACGACCCACCACATATTCAATGGTGGTACCATAATATTATAATAAAGCTGAGAATTCTTATCATCTAGTGACAATCACAGCCGTGCTAACATCGAATCTCAACACCATAGCACAGCGCGTTACTCCCGTGTCTATGGAGATGCTGGGTGAGCAAACCTGCTGTGCTGCCGGTCGTGTAAATGTATTTCACACACAGTTACTGGGTTTGTACCGTCTGGGTCTGTGTAAGCCCACTCTGTGATGTTCGCATGAAGACGCAAGTGCCCAGCGAGCCATTCTCGGAATGCAGGGTCCATGGTTAAGTAGCACGAGACTGCGCTATTCTTCCTGCTGCGTAAATCAATGACTTGAAGCAGAGAAACTGGTCGAAAGCCCCAAGGCTCTCTATGCAGGGTGCACAAGACTTGAGCATAGGTCTTTTTCATTCAAAACCCCGTGATCTTCCCACTCAGGAGTCAGAGGAGACCAGGTCTGGTCGGAGGCAAGTCCTAGGCCCCTCTAGGGAGCCCCCAGCAGGACCTCAGCGGATGCCCCCAGACTTGGGGAGCACACGGGGCCTCAGGAATGGCTGGGGCAGGGCAGGAAGAAAACGACAAGAATGTGGGGATGGTTTCTGCCCTAGGAGAGCACCCTGTCTGGAAGAGGATGGAAGTCAGATACACCCCAATCCAGACAGAGGCTGGGCAGCACAGAGGCAGGTGGACAGAACCCCAAGCTGGCGGCACAGAAGGCTCTGAGCTGAGGGGACCAGGGAGCTGACCGTCGGGCCCCAGCAGCACCCATTCCCACAGTCCCACTTTGTGAGATAAAGACTTTGCAACTACAGATCTTGCTTTGATGGTGTTTTGTATCCTGTAAGCTGTGATTCTGTATATACACAGTGCCCCCCAGCTAGACTGTAAGCCCTTTGCAGGCAGGACTTCTTCCAGGTCTTGGGTGGCATTCTCCTGCTTGTCGTCCCTTATCTGTCTTGTCTACCACAGCGCTATGCAGGTAGTAAGCTCAATAAATGATCATTTGCCAAGTAAGTGCTGTTTCTTCCACAATTCAGAAATGGTCAGCACAGTCCAAAGGCATGTCCTGAGCTCCCCGCAGCTGCTGTTAGGAATGGCGCAGAGGGGATTTCGAGGCTCAACTAATGGGTGGCAAATTCCCACTGCCAGCCTGGCCAGATTGGGCATCCTGGGCTTTGTGAGCCGTGGAGAGGACACCAAGACGTGGGTAGGCTGTGAGGTCTGCCGACAGAGCAAAGAATAGCCCGCTTTGGGCCGGTCGTGCTGGCCGTGGCACCGTGCTGGGAAATCAGGGCAGGGACCTCCAGGATCTGGGACAACGCCTAACACTGCATGTGTCCGCAGCTGGCAGCCTGCTCTTCTCTCCACACCTGCCCTTCCCACAGTCCCTTCATCTCAACTGCTATCGACTCCGTTTCTCCAGCCGCTCAGGCCAAAAGGCTCCTTGTCCTTGATTCCTTGTTCTCACGTGCCCTGTGAGCTCCATCACAGAATCCTGTCCATCCCACCTTCTCACGGGGGAGGGGAGCCCAGAATCCGACCACTGTCCCCTCAGGTCCAGGCCGCCATCCTCTATCACTCCCTGCATAGAGCCCCATCAGCCTCCCCGCTTCCATTCCTGCCCCTCCAGTCTCTTCTCACCACCACAGCGGAGGGGTCGTGTTAAAAACCTTGTCAGACCACGCCAGTCCTCCGCTCAGTGGCTTCCTTGATCTCTCAAGTGAAGCCTGCCACGCCCTTTGGTGGTGCACAGGGCTGGCCACCTCCCTGCCTCTCTCCTCACCTCCCCGCTCCCTCCGCTGCAGCCGCACTGGCAGCTCCCTCCGCCTGGGGTGCTCTTCCCTCAGACATATGCGTGGTTCTCTCCCTCTCCTCTTTCAGGTCTTTGCTCAGGTGTCACCTTCTCTGTAAGATCTATACTGACACCCTTTTAAAATTTCAAAGGAACTCCACTCCTATCCCCACACATATCCTATTTTCCCATAGCACTCACTTACCAGATTCTACTGTCCTATATAATTTACCTATGTCCACTATCTGTTGTCTGTCTCCTTTTAATAGAATATTAGCTCCGCTCGCAAAAATCTGTCTGCTAGCTCATAGCTATATCCCGGTGCCTAGAACAGTGCCCGGTGCATAATAAGTGCTCAATAACTCTTTGTGGAATGATTGAATGACTATTCCCCAGGAGTGGGGATACGTGGAGCCCCAGGGGCACCACCTCCTGCCAATTACCCTACCATTTCTACCCCTGCCCTCCCAGGGAATACAGGGGTCCCTCTGTCAGGACAGGAGGGAAGGAGCCCTCCCTGAGAGATTCTAACTCTTCCTTCCACCAGAGGGGAGACCCATGTCCCAGCCCAGAAAGGTCCCAGGGAAGCATGGCCCTGGAGCTGGCAGGGCCGGGCCCAAGATCTCAGAGAAAAGGCAGTTCCAGGACACTGGAGCTCCCGGAGTTTCCTGTGACAACCTGGGGACAGAGGACCCTGGGGGAAACGAAAGGATTTCGGGCGCAGACCCAGGAAACAAAACCAACTGCCCTGTCTGAGCAATCCTGACAAACCGGGTCTCCTTCAGCCACACCAGGTCCATTCCTGGTGACTTTACGGGTCCCCTTTCAAGTCACCTCGAAAGTGACCTCGAACCTCTGAGTCTGGGCTCCTCTCAGGTGGCTCAGAATCGAACCACACCGTGGAGGCCAAAGACTTGGGTTCGGCGTAAAGGATTGAGTACAAACCCTCAGCAGCAGTTTCCCCTGGCGGCCCAGCCTCCCGAGAGCACTGCAGAGTCCTCCCCACCCCAAGATGATGGAGCTTGAAACCTGTGGGTTCACGAAAACAGAGCCCTGGGAGGGGAGAAAGCAGGTGGAAGGGGCAGACAGGAGGCAGGTCCATGCCGTGCTCTGCCAGGACCCAGGGCAGAAAGGCCAGGCAGACCTCCTGCCTTAAGAGGAGAGACCTGGGGGAGGAGCTGCTCCGACAGGAAACTCTGAACAGAGGAAGAACAATGGCAGGGTTTCTTTGGTCCCTGTTTTCTTTGGCCTCTTAGCTGCCAGGGAGCCCACAGCCCAGTGCTCCAGGCCCTTGGACTTCCTCGGCGGCCCCTCCCCTCGCCCTGACGAGGACTGATAGAGGAGCACCTGTTCTTTCCCCTGCTGCACCCTCCACACAGAGCCTTCAGGGCTTTTTTAAAGTTGTGGTTACAAGATAAGGAAACTCTACTGAGCCTTACTCTGTGCTAAGTGCTTCCCAAGGACACACAGTGGTGGTGGGGGGGGGTGGTCTTTAGTGCAGCTCCTCTCCTGAGATCCTGAGGGTAATTCCCTGCCCCTCCTCCAAGCCCTGGAGGGTCCTCCAGCCTCATTCCCCACATGCCTAACCTGGAAATGAGAAGCGGGAGGCCTGGGGGGAGTGGGGGGGAGCAGCTGGACGCCCAGAGAAAAGGGGCGAGCACAGGAGGGGGGGCAGGGAACTGGAAGAAAGTGTGGACCCCAGTCCACACTGGGGAAGTGGGAGGATCTGACTTAGGAGGCACTGAAAAGGACCACGTGTAAGAGAGACAGATGGAAACAAACGAACAAAAAAGTCACAGAAATTGAGAGGCAGAGGAAAGGTGAATAGGATGGAGAGGCTGAGACGGAGAGGAAGAGACTAAGGGAAGGAAAAAAACAGGAATGGGAAGGAGAGGGGAAGGGAGACCCTAAAGGAAGGAGGAAGAGAGACGGAGATGGGGGAGCAGCGGTGTTGGGGGGAGGAAAAATCTGGAAGGGAGAGACTGGGCCTGGAGGAACAGGCGGAAGGAGAAGCGGGAGGAGAGGCAGAGAATTCGAGAGGAAGAGAAAGCCAGACTGGGAGTCTGAAGGACAGACACAGAAGAGCCCGAGAGAAGGGGCGAGAGCAGAAGGTGAAGGAAAAGGAGCACCTGAGACCTGGAGTAGGGGGCGTCATGAAGGGAAGTGGGAGAGGCCAAGACCTGGCCTTGGGAGGTCAGCGGTGCCCTGCCCCCTCCCCGCACCCCACTCGGACCCCTTGGTCCCAGAGCCTCTTCCCTGACCTAAAACAAAACCGAACGTGGCCATGCCCTCTCCGGTCCCAAGTACAAAGTGAACTCCGGGCCCCCACCTCTTCTGGGGACGTGCTGGGGTCCCCAAGAGAGCCGTGCTGGAGGGGTTGGGACAATTGCGGGGCAGAGGGCGCCTGCTGGGGGTCCAGGATAAGCAGGAGCAGGGCAGGCTGGCACGGTGCCCGCTTTCCCACCCACCCCCCATTTCAACCCCAGGGGCCCGCCTGGCCGGGGCCAGGGAGAGGCCCGCGACGGCCGGACCGCCCAGCCCGGCCGCCCGACCCCGCCGCCGGGCCGCAGGGAGCTGAGTGGCGCTGTGCTGGGGGAATCGCATCGCTCCAAACCCGCCGGAGGTGAGGCTGGATAAGGATGCCCGGGTCGCAGGAGGAAAAGGAGGGGCTGGACCCAGGGCCGGGAGAAGAGAAAAGGAGAAGGCCAGGGCCGGAGATAAAAGCCCGGCGGAGGGAGCCAGCCAGGGGTCCGTAGGGCTGGCGACCCCGGCCCGGCCGGGCCCGAGCAAAGTCTCCCTGGGAGCCTGGGACGAACCGCGCGGCGCAGAGCCTGGCAGCCGCCCGGAGCGCAGCAAGCACACGTCCCCAGCCGCGGGGCCGGTGCGCACCGCCTCCTGGGTCATGTGGCCCGGACAGGTCGCACGCTGCCCCTGCGGGAGACCTCGGGGGGCCCGGGGCAGTGTGGAGCCCCGGCCGGCCGCAAAGTTCCCTTCCTGCGAGAAGTGCTGGCTCCAGAGCGCGGGAGCCGCCCACTGCCCCCCCGCGCTGGCCCCGCCGAGGGGCGCCCGCCCTCTATATAGCGCACCCCTGCGGGGCCCGTGCCAGGCCGCTAGCAGCCGTGAGGTCCCCGCAGAGCGCGCCGCCCCAGGGAGCCAGCCCCCAGCCACCAGCAGCGCCGCCGCCGCCGCCCCGACGGGCGCCCCTTGCTGCTGCTCGGCCCCCACCGCCACCATGAAGAAGGAGGTGTGCTCCGTGGCCTTCGTCAAGGCCGTGTTCACGGAGTTCCTGGCCACCCTCATCTTTGTCTTCTTTGGCCTCGGCTCGGCCCTCCAGTGGCCGTCAGCGCTGCCCACCGTCCTTCAGATCTCGCTGGCCTTTGGCCTGGCCATAGGCACCCTGGCCCAGGCCCTGGGGCCCGTGAGTGGCGGCCACATCAACCCTGCCATCACACTGGCGCTCTTAGTAGGCAACCAGATCTCCCTGCTCCGGGCTGTCTTCTACGTGGTGGCCCAGCTGGTGGGCGCCATTGCTGGGGCAGGCATCCTCTATGGGCTGGCACCAGTGAGTTCCCGGGGCAATCTGGCGGTGAATTCGGTGAGTGCCCCCGGGGATGGGGGTGCGGCAGAGACCCGGGGGTGGGCTTGGGACCAGGCCCTCATACCCCATTTCAAGAATAGGTGCCACCGAGTGGGTCAGTGCACACCCTTGCAGGGAAGGTGACAGCCTCCCGAGGCCAATAAGATGAATCCCCGGCTGCCGCATGTCCCTGCTCAGCTTCCCTGGTTCATGCCCACCTCCTCTGCCTGCCCCCTTCCTGCTGCCCCTTTCTGGCCTCTCTCCTGGTGCCTACTGCCCCTCCTTTCTTGCCGGAAACGTCTGCCTTTTCTCCTGTCTCACTCCTGCGATCCTCTTGGACCCGTCATGGCTCCTGCTTGTCCCTCAGTGAAGGGCCCTGGAACCATTAGAGAGAAATAGGTTGTCATCTTGGCTCCCACTGACCCTGGCCTCTGTGGGTCTCAGTTTTCTCAGCTATGACATGGGGGTGGCCATCACCTACCACAGCAGGTGTCAAGGGACCCCATTTAGAGACCATGCATGTGAACCCCTAATTTTGTCCCTGCTCCTGGCCTCCTCTGCCTCCCCCTTCCCCAGCCCCAGATTCGGCCCCCATGTCCCATGCAAACTGGGTTCATTAATCAAACACAGAGGAGGATTTTCTCGGCCATTGTCAAGCCGTGAGTCAGCTGCACTGGAGAGACGGGTTTGTGGTTGGCACTGGCAGCGGGTCAGGCACGGGCGGGAGGTGGGCTGGGGGTGCAGTGGACACACTGGGCAGCTGCCCACAGGAGGGAGGGTAAATGCCAGCTTGTGGCAGGTGGAGGCTGGGCAGAACCGTTGACAGGACCATGTCCAAGAAAAGCTCCCCTCACACCACCCTTTGGCCACAGGCCTGCGCCCCAAGCTTTGCACACGCTGTGATGTGCGTAGCGTAGTGTCTTTGGCAGACGACCTCCCTGACCGACGTGCACTGGGCTATAGGTGTCTTTGGAGGCCCTAGCCCACCTCCCCAAGCCCCTGGCCACAGAGCCAGAAGGAGGCTGGGGCCGAAACCACCCTCCCCTTGCAGCTCAGCAACAACACAACGCCGGGCCAGGCTGTGGTGGTGGAGATGATTCTGACCTTCCAGCTGGCGCTCTGCATCTTCTCCTCCACTGACTCACGCCGCACCAGCCCTGTGGGCTCCCCAGCCCTGTCCATCGGCCTGTCCGTCACCCTGGGCCACCTTGTGGGGGTGAGCAGCGCTGCCATGTAGCTGGGGCTGTGGAGAGCTCCTCCGGGTGAACAATAGGAGCCTACAGCACCTCTCCAAACCAATGAGCCCTGCAGTTTGGGCCTGGAGTGGGGCCGTTGTACTCCATCCCAGACTTGAGAGCCCCCCAAACCTTCTCTAGCCTGGAGGACAGGAATAAGTGGGAGCCAGGGTGGGGGCAGGAAACCAAGCCCAAGCTCAGGACAAACAAGAGAGGAGAGGTACACAGGAACCTGTGGAGGGACAGGTCACCAGCCTAGGAATTGGGAGCCTTGAGTTGGAGATCTGACTGAGCCCCTAAACTGGTGGGGACCCTGGGAGAGTTAGGGGCCCCGTGGGGGTGCACTTCCCCTTCCTCACCGCCTCCCTCTCTCCGTCCAGATCTACTTCACTGGCTGCTCCATGAACCCAGCCCGCTCCTTCGGCCCTGCGGTGGTCATGAAGCGGTTCAGCTCTGCGCACTGGGTGAGCCAGGCCTCCCTCGGACCCCTGGACACTCAGCTTTGGCTTCCTGGACTTCCTGGGTGTTGTGGGCCCAGAGCTTGGGGTGGGCCTGGGGAGCAGTGGCTGGAGAGAGGGGGACACAGTAGGGGACAGGATGCAGCCAGAACACCGGCCTAAGCCCCTGGGGACAAGGGGTCCCTGGCTGGGGGCTGGGGGACACTATTGTGTCTGTCCCTCTAGGTAAAGGAGGGGTCTCTACCTCTAGGTTGATCTCCTCTGAGGATTTTTTTTGTCCCTCTGAATCTATATGTCTGATGCTTTATTTCCCCACCCCTGCTAAAGGGTTGGGATAGTCTCCTTCCTGAAGGTCTGTCCCTCGGAACAGGCTGAAATGTCCTTTGAGAGTCCAGGGTCTCCCTCCAGAGTTTGTCTCTGTCCCCGAATGGAAGGGAGAGGAGTTCTGTTCTTCTCTCCGAGGACCTATATGTCTGTTCCCTCCGAAAGTCCATGTGTCTCTTTAGGGTGGAGTGGGAGGGGCCCCGGGCCCCTGGGGATCTGTCTCCTTTAAGAATGTGGGTATCTGTGGTCCATGTCCCTGTCACTGGGGAGTGGGGTGTCAGTATATCTGTCCCTGAGGTGGGAGGAAGTCTTTCCTTCTGGAGATCTGGAAGTCACACGTCCATCTCCTCTGGGAGTCCGTGAGTCAGTCCTCCGGAGGGGCTCAGCCCCCTGACGCGGCCCTGTCTCCACCAGGTGTTCTGGGTGGGGCCCATCGTGGGGGCCGCCGTGGCTGCCATCCTCTACTTCTATCTGCTCTTCCCCAACTGCCTGAGCCTGAGTGAGCGTGTGGCCGTCGTCAAGGGCACGTACGAGCCTGAGGAGGACTGGGAGGAGCGGAAGAAGACCATAGAGCTGACTGCCCACTGACCAGCGTCAGACGGGGACCGGTCCCTCAGCCCCTGAACTACAGGGGAATAAAAAGCATGATGGCAAAGCTTCCTTTCCCCACAGCTGGGTTCTCTGGGCTAGGGAGGAGGTGCTGGCTCCCCAGGCTGCAGCTAGAAATGGGAACAGGAACTTGTGATGGGGCTCTGGGGTGGGAGCCCGGGGCTGGGCCCTGATGGGAAGAGGGTCTCTCTGGGACAGGGCAGGCTGCTGCCACAGGGTCAGGCCCCAGAGACTGTGAATGTGGCACCAAGCTCACAGGCTGCCCCCGGGCCAGGCCAGGAAGGGGTGGTCTGCATTCTTCACCCCCCCACTCTCCCCAGCCCCTAGGATGGCAGAGGCTGACCCTCCCCAGAGCTCCTTAGGAGGGAGACAGACTGGTTCATTAAGTGCTGCCTTATTTATTTCTGCTTAAACATGCATGGGCTAGGGCTGCTGGTGTTTGCAATGGGGGCTTCCCAATAAACCACTGATGTTCATGTTCTGCCTCATCTCTCCCCAGAAGCCTCTCCTTGGGACACTCTGGCTCATGACCTCTCCTCTTCATCATCCCACACCCTGCCCCATGGCTCCTCAGTCCTCTGTGGAAAGACAGGGAAGCTGAAGCCAGGGCATGCCTAGAGTGCCATACGGGGGTGGGGAGAGCAAGATAGGGGGGTGGGGGGAGAAAGAGAGAGAGAGGAGAACAAATACAGAAGTAGAGCTCGGGGTCAGCAGGAGGCAGTAGGAGCAGAGAAGGAGGCGTCCAATTCACTGAGTCTCCTGCCCACCCTCCCCCCACCTCAGCTATGTCAAGTCTCTGTCACTTGAGGAGGGTGTGCCGGGCAGGGTGGGGAAGCGAACTGCCCGCAGCCCCTTGAGACGCCAAGGGGTTGACCAGCAGGTCTGTCATCAGGGAGGAGGCACAGCCCCGGACTCCCCTCTCTGCAGCTCCGTGTGCCAAAAAGGGGCCGTGTTGGGAGCTGTGCCCAGCGACAGCAGCAGCCCCCCTGTCCGCACCCCACCCCCACCCCCAGAAGCTGCACGTGGCCCAGCACTTTTCTGGTCTCTTGTCTGCCTTGCAGGGCAGCATCCCCACTGTCCTCCCCTCTGGGCCCGAGACTCTGCCCTCACTGGTTCTTGTCCCCTGGCCACTGACACTCCTTAGGAAACCTCCTTAACTCACCAAACCTCCATCTCATGAGCTAGCAAATGAGGGTGAAAACTGCTTCCCTCACAGGGTTGTTGTGGTGATCAGATGAGCTGAGGGAGAGCGATTCCTGCTCTCTGTGGGGAAATGGGGGGAACGCAGAGGAGAAGCTCAGTACGCAGCCCTGTGTCATAGTGAAGGGGCTGGCTTGGGGGCCAAGTCTTATGTGCAACTTCGGGTAACATAAGCTCCGTGTTTTAATTACCTCATCCGAAAAATGGGACTACTTGTACTCGTGGGCGGTTGTGAGGATGAATGTGAGACAATGGATTGAAATAAAACCCTTGTGCAAACAGGGCCAGGCACTTCAGAGTGAGTGCTCAATAAACAGGTGTGAAAAGAAGCCCGCTCCCGGGCTGGCGTGGCTCAGGGGATGGAGCGCCCGCCCAGGAACTCAAAGGTCGCGGGTTGCATTCCCAGTCAGGGCACATGCCTGGGTTGTGGGCCAGGTCCCCAGGAGGGGGCGTGCGAGAGTCAACTGATTAATGTTTTCTTCTTTTTCTACCTCCCTTCCCCTTTGTGAAAATGAATAAATAAAATATTTAAAATACTTTTTAAAAAAAAGAAAAGAAAAGAAACCAGCCTGTGCACATCTGGGACCCTGGCCACACCCTAGCTCGGGGCCTCTGCTCTCCCTAGAGCGCTTGAGCCTTAGCTCCAGGTTTTTTAGGTTTCGGGGAACCTCCCCGAAGTCTTAGGTTCTCCCCAGAAGAGGAAAGGCCGCAGAGGGCGGGGGCGGGGCGGGGAGGCGGTCAGGAGATGGAGAAGAGGTGGGAGAGTCTGTACAATCTGCTGGCAAGGATCGGTCCCAGGGGCTGGCGGTGAGGGCGGCAGAGTTCGCAGCCCTCCTCCACACTTGAGTCTAGTATCTGTGAATGGGTGCTGCCATCTCCCTGCGCTGCACTACCCTGCCCGCCTCCATCAGCGTGCAGTTAACACCAAAAGGCAGTATAGGCATGAAGAAGCCGTCCCCCACCCGCAAGTGCCAGCTCGGACCAGCAGGGGGAGACCTGGTCCACCGAATACAAACTGCTGCGTTTCTCCGCAAGAATCTTGGATCTGGGCTCGAGCCCGATGGGGTGTGGGGGTGGAGGACACGGGGAATCTCTCAGGCCTGGGTCCTCTGGGCCAGCAGGAAGCAGCTACTCTCAGTTCACCCTCACCCCACTATCCGAGACTGGGTGCCGAAGAGAGGAGATCCCTTTCCCACTCAGTCTCCACAAGACTCAGGTGCAGGCACAGCCATGACTAGGAGGCCGGCCTCTCCCCTCAGCCTAGCAACTTGCATTCCTTTCTCTGACAGGTGAGCCCGTGGAGGACAGACCATTAGGGGTGGGTGGGCGCCCAGTTCGAGGAAGTTCCTGGCCCGCCGAGAGGGCCAGGGTCCAACTAGGGCTTTGGACGGACACGTTGCGGCGGTGTGGCCATCAGAGGGCGCTGTGCTCCCTGGTGGCTGACCCTCTGGGCGCGGCTAGGTCCCGGCTCACCGAGACCCGCCCCCCCTCCGCAACCCGTGCACACAGGAGCACGCACTCCAGCCTCTCGCAACCACACTGACCCGTGCGTTGCAGCTAGGGGCTGCGTCTTCTCCGCATGGGCTGCTCGCTCCGCGCCTGTGGCAGCCACATCAACTCCCCGCCCCCCCCCCCCCCCGCCCATTCTCTCTCACAGGACTGCCGGGGGCCTGTGTTCCATGTGTTCTCGGAGAGGTGCGTGTGTGTCACAGCCAAGCACACGTGCCCAGGCACCCCGCTTGCCCTCTGCTCCACCTTGAGATGGGACCCAGGAAGGAGAGCCTTGATTCTCCTCTAGGAAGCTTCGTCCTCCTCCCCGCCCCTCTGCCCAGGAGCTACCGGTTTTCACCCCATAGGAAGATGGACATGGTGACAGGGTAGAGAGATGCGGGAGGACTGGGAGTAAGACAGAGAATGGACAGAAGGCCGGCTGTCTACATGGATGGCCAGGAGGGGTCGCTGGAGGGTCAGCTCTCTCAGCCCCTCCCTGACTCAGTTCCTTCCCTATCCGGTTCGGATGAGGTCACACTGCTCACCTGTCACAGTTTGTGGGGATCGGTGAGATAATTCGAGGGAAGCTACCTTGAATTCTTCCCTTCCTGTCATGTTTTTAATGTCCCTCTTCTCTCCCCATACCTTTCTCGTTCTCCGCCCCCCCCTCCTCTCCCCCAAGCCCCCAGTCCTCAGTCAGAGCTCACTTTGCTCCTTGGGCAAGCAGGCAAGTACGTGCACGTGCGTGCAAACGTACACACCTTCCCACAGAGGCGCCCACCTCAGCAGCCCAGGGGCCCAGAGACAGGCCTCTGGGAGGTTAAGAGCCCACAGCTGCCTGACAGGCTGCTGTAGGCAGCCAGGTGTAGGGCCTTTACAAAAGTCCTGTGAACATGAATGACCTCAAAGCGTGACACACGAGCTCAAAACTGGCTGGACCTGGTAAGGTGCTGGTTGGAACTGGAAGAAGCCCTGGCCAATGCCTGGCTGGCCTCAGGGTGGTGGTGGTGGACGAACCTTGTCCCAGGCCAGGCAAGGCCCCAGGAGTCCCTGCTCTAGGCCAGCTGGAAACAAGAGCTGCTACCACGCCTAATGCTCTGAGCCTCCAGTGGCCAGAGTAGGGGCCACAGGTGCTACTTGTCCTGGACCCTTCCCACCCCAGCCTGGTCCTCATTGGACCGGTCTTCATAGCTGTCTCATTGGAGAGGGGACACAAGTGGCAATTTTAATGACCAACATTTTCTGACTCAGAGACATCCTCCTAGGTATTAGCACCTTTACTCCTAACGACACATGGAGAGGTGGGAATTTTAATCTCCATTTTATAAGGGGGAACTGAAGTCACAGAAGTTAAGCGCTGGTCAGGGTACAGTGTACACGGCAATGTTCAAATGCTTTCACTTGTATTGTCTTATCAAAGGTCTCAACAGATAGGCCTTCATATTGTTTGGTGCCTGGTATACAGGCAAAGAACCTGGGGCTCGGTGAGCTGCAGGGACTGGTGAGTGCCTGTCCCCACTCCTCGGTGGCTCTGTCCAAGGGGAGGGAAGAAGAGAGATGCCCTTGTGGTTCCTTGGAACAGCCCCTAGGCAGAAAACCCACCGGGGCAGGGAGAAGTGTCACCCACGCTGGCCATTCCTTCATTGCTTCAGAGTTTATTGACAGAATCCTCTAAGCCAGGAAAGCACACGAGTCTGCACTGGAACAGTGGAGGCAGGAGGAAGCTGAAGCCAGAAGTCGCCACTGGCTTTGCTCAAGCCCAGCTTCTCCATGCAGCTTGCCCTGGTTCTGCTGGAAAGGAAAATCAGGGCAGGCTTCACGGAGGAATTGGGTTTGAACAAAGTCTTAAAAAAAGAGACAAAGACGAAAGGCATTCCAAATTCATGGTCTCTCCACTATTCTGAGATTACCAGGCATGTTATAAAGAAGCCAGGAGAGGGAGAAGGGCAAACCACAGATGAGCCTGGGAATGGCCAAGAGCACCGGGAGGGACCCCTGACTCAACACAAGAGAAGGGCTGCCTCTTCCTTGGGAGTGCAGGGAAGCTGGTTAAGGCACCGGCGGCCTCTGGGGAGTTCGTGGCTGGGGAGGAAGGGTGGGAAGAAGTACTGCCTGCTAGCTTGGCTTTCCGGGTGAGACAGGAGGCAAGTCGGCAGAAAGCCAGAGAGAGTCGGGTACTTGAAGAGAGTGGGGAAGGTTTGAAGTAGGCCCTGGGAGAACAGGGAGAGAGCCGCCTGGTGAGGGCGTGAGGACTGCTGATGAGCTGCGACCCCTGCTGAGGCCATGGGCTGTGGGCTGGTCGCAGCTGGCAAGGGCCTCCAGCAGCGCTCAGCAGCGCAGATGGCAGGCAGAGGGGTGTGAGGAGAGTGAGAATGGGGAGATGCAGGTGTAGGGGGGAGTTAGAGAGGAGAGGGAGCCAGGACAGCGGGGCGCGGAGGTGCGATGCCAGGGCGTCGGGCTGGAGAAGGGAGGGTGAAGCCGGGATGGCCAGGAGAGGAGAAAGGGAATGGAGGAGGGATTTCACTCTGGCTGAGATGGGGGAAGCTGGGGGGGGGGGGGGAGGCAGAGCCCATGCTCAGAGCTGGGGCGTTCAGTGGAAGATTCCAGAGGGCCCGGTTCTGGGTGAGGGTGATAGAAGGCCTTAAGAATAGCCAGCTGAAGGAAAGCAGAGATGAAAGTCACCTGCCTCCAGGAGCTCAAGAAACTTTTATTCACTTGTTTGTTCGACAGTTACTTATCGAGCACCTACTATGACTAATCTCTGTGCAAGACACTACGTGTGGGGATGAGCAGAACTTGTCTCCTGCCCTCTCAGAGGCTCGCCGGGCCACTGGGGAGACACACTGGCACCGGGTCAATACCCTAGGATGACTGCAGGGGTCAAAAATGCCCAGGTCTGGGGGTGGGCACGGGGAAGGCCTCACCCAGGAAAGGAGGAGAGGACGTTGAAGCTGAGACTCAGGGGTGGGTTAGGGAGTTACTCAAGCAAAGGAAAGGGGAAGGGCTCTCCAAGGAGAAGAGAGCATCCTCAAAGGAGAGACCAGCTTGGAGTGTGTCGGAACCACTGGCCGTTTGGTGAGGCCACAGGGTAAAGAGCAAGGCAAGGCGTGGGGAGAGGTGAGGTGGAGGAGCAGACCCCAGAGGGCCTTGGAGGCTGCACGGAGCTCACGCAGGGGACAGAGGCTTTGAAGGGATTTTAGCAGAGAAGCAACAGGATCAGATTTGCATTTTAGAAAGATCACTGGGGCTGCAGTGTGGATAATTGATTGGAACAGAGCAAGGGAGCAGAGAGAGAGAGAGAATGGTTAAAGGCTGCAGGGCAGCAGGGGTGGCAAAAAGAGAGCAAAGTCAAGAAATATTTATGACTGAGAACCAGCAGGACTTGATGCCTTTAGTGGATGGGGCAGGAGGGGGAGGAGGGTCAAAGATGCTTCCCAGGTGCCTCCAGCTGAGCTGGCGGAAACAGGAGTGCGTTTGGGGGCTGGGAGGGGGGGAAGACCTCGTTTTGAGACAAGGTTACACTTGAGGGGCCCGAAGACAACCAGGGGACATCCCCCAGGCAGGTAGATATGGCCAGGGGTGAGGTCCTGGCACACGGATGTGGTTAAGAGGTGAAGACCATATTATTTTAACCGCTCAGCAGATTCTTCTCAGGGGAGAACACCTTTGCTTGTGTAAATGCCTTCATGTGCTGCTGGGGGAGAAGGGCTGAGCCTAGGGCAGCAATACGACGGCTGGGCTGCCCTGCGTGAAACGCCCTGTGTGAGACGCGTGAGGGGCTGTTCTGGCCCCTGAGGAGGAGAGCAGAGAGTGTGGGGAAGGGGCTGGGGCCGAGGGGGAGAGTGAGGGAAGCAGACAGAAGCGGGGGCACGGCAGAGGTCCCACTGTCGCATGTCCTGGTCGGCTGTGGAGTACGCCCTCCTTCCCTCTGCCCCCTCTGCGCCCCCACAGGCCCACGTCCTTAGTAACTCTATTCACATCGCTTCCCAGGAGTGGGGTTTCAGGGGAAGTGGAGGAGGGAGCTTCGTTTCCCACCTGGGGTTACGGGGTGCGGACAGTGTGAGGCCATCTGGGGGCAGAGCCCGTAGGCAGAGGGGCCAGGAGATCAGGACACCCCCCCTTATCTTACCCCTTGTGTCGCCAGAATGCGCCGGACCCTCTGAAGCAGGCCTTGGACTTGGGTGCCTGAGCGAGCTTGCACCATCTAAGCTGACATCGGGGACGCGGGACCCCTGGGACCCCGGGACCCCTGGGACTCCGTGCCCTGGGGCTGGGCCTTCAACACAGTGGAGCCTGCCCAGCTCACGGACCTCCCGGGAGGTTCCAGTTCAGGGCCCCGAGACGGCCCCTCCCCCAGCTGTCGGGTGAGCTCAGGGTGGAGCAGGCAAGCGCCACCCCTCGTGCCACCTCCAAACTTTCCTCTCACCCAGACACACAAACCCCGCCAGCCCGCCCAGCGCGGTCCTGGGGCAGCAGTGCAGCGGAGGGGCTGCAGGTGGGAGCCAGCAAAGCCTGTCCACAGTGGGACAGCCGGAGCAGGCCGGGGCCTGGCCGGAGCAGGCCGGGGCCTGGACACCAGAGGTGGGGGGCGGGGCAGAGGCCCTGGGAGCAGAGGAGGAGGCAGCCAAGACACGGGGACCTAGACGCAGTGGAGTCAGGTGCTGGGGCCCCTGCTCTGGACGGCCATCAGCAAGGCGCTGTTGCCGCGTTCCTGGCCACCGGGCCGTATGTGTTCTTTGGTGTGGGTTCCGTCCGCTCTGCCCTGGTCGCTGGCATTTCCCTCTGTGCTGCAGATCGCCATCACCTTCAACCTGGTCACGCAGGTCACCTGGAAGTCCAGCAGGGCCCATGTCAACCCTGCGGTGACGCGGGCTTACCTTGTGGGCTCCCAAATCTCTCTGCCCCGTGCTGTGGCCTATGTGGCTGCCCAGCTGGTAGGGGCCATTGTGGGGGCTGCTCTGCTTTACAGGGTCACACCAGGGGACATCCGAGAGACCCTTGGGGTCAATGAGGTAGGTACAGGGAGAGGCTCCTGGCGGGGCCAGGGGAAGTGTCTGAAACAGGTATAATTGTGTAATTGTGGCAGGCCACCATGCTGCGGGAGAGGGGCAGAGGGTGCCCTCTCGGCACGTGCTTCACACCTGCTCCGTGCTGGGCCCGGGCCCAGGGGAATCGGACTGTGTGTGGGTTTAGTGCAGGTGGGGCAGGCATGGGGCTGTGGTCCACAGAACAGATGGGGCAGGCCACACTAAGGGGCAAGGGTTGGAGGAGGACCAGGGAGGGTGGGGCTGGGGGTGGTGGCAGGGACCCTGCATCTTCCTCCTCAAGGCCCCCGTGTCCTCCCCCTGCCCAGGAACTCTCAGGCCTGTTTCACCGCCACCAGAGTCCCCTGGTCAGCTGTGTTCCACCTACTCCCCCACATCTCTTCCTTCCACTCCCACCCAGGTCTCGCCCCAGGCACCTTGTAAACACTCACTTCTGCTTCTCTGCACCTCCCTTTTCCTACCAGTTTTGAGCCTCTGCCACCCCCCAAATCACTGGCCCCAACCAACCGTTGGGGGGGACCCTACTTTGGCCAGGATTAAGTGTCCCGGGCTGACCTGAACCCACTGCACAGTCCTCAAGTCCTGGGACCAGCATTGTGAGGTGTCCCCACTTACGGCAAGGAATGAGGTGGGGGTGGGGGCCGGGTCACCACCCTCTGGCAGAAAGCCGGGGACCCCAGTGTAGCCCTCTCTCTCAGACCCGCAGCAGCGTCTCAACTGGCCAGGCGGTGGCAGTGGAGCTGGTTCTGACCCTGCAGATGGTGCTCTGTGTCCTGGCGTCCACCTCCAGCTCCCCGGCCACCATGATTGGGGTCTCTGTGGCATTGGGCCACCTCATTGGAGTAAGGGGCAAAGGGACACCATCTATGTGCACACACAGCCCCCTCCCTGGAGGGGCTGCAGGGGCCCCGAAGGCCAGGAAATGTCCCTCCCGGAGGCCCTCATGCCTTGGGGCCGAGGCTATGCCCCGCGCTCCAGGCCCAGGACATGGTGCTGCAGAGGCCGAGGCTGGAACTGGGGCTCTGAGCCAAGACGGTGGGGACTATCCCCACCCAGGCCTTAAGCCTCTTCACACCCCGAACCCACCATCCCTCCACTCCCCAGATCTACTTCACTGGCCGTTCCATGAACCCAGCCTGCTCCTTGGGAAGTTTGAAGTCCACTGGGTGAGACCCTCTGCTTGCAGCCACGGGAGGGGAGGGGGCCCGAGTAGGGCTGTAGGGACTGTGGCTTTCAGCAGCAGCAGGCACACAGGTCTCCCTGCTGCAGACCATCTTGACCCCCAGTGTAGGTTTCCCCAAACTCAGAAGACCAGGGCAGGCGTCCTGGCCCTACTTCCTCTTTCTGCAGCTCCAATAGCCCAGGTATCAGGGGCGAGAAACAGGCCAGGGCAGGAGCCACAGCCCCAGGCCTCAAGTCCTGGCTGTTTCCTTATTCACTTTCTCCAGCTGGGCCAATTTCCAAACTGGATAAAGAAAAAGACAAACAAATAAACACACACGCCCACAAAGACAGGAACAGCACCAGCCAGGGCTCCTGACTGGAACAGGGGAGGTGAGAGGGGGGAGGAAGGCAGGGAGGAGTGGTGAGGAGACAGTGCCGCCCCGCCCGGTAGGAGGCAAGACCCCCTCACCCGCAGGGACTCTGGGGGAGGGGCAGCACTGCTGCTTCGCAAACTCGCCACCTCTAGACAGCTCAAGGGCTCCTGGGCGACCAAGGCAACACTGGGCAAGCAGGCAGGGCTCCCAAAACTCACAAGCCGGGTCCCCACTTTTCTGCCGCCTCAGATCTTCTGGGTGGGGCCCCTGACAGGGGCTGTCCTGGCCTTGCTGATCTACAACTTCGTCCTGTTCCCTGACACCAAGACTCTGGCCCAGCAACTGGCCATCCTCACAGGCACCGCAGAGGTGGGGAAAGTGGTGGAGGTGCAGCCCCGGAAAAAGGAATCCCAGTTCAGCAGACACCCAAGTGCAGTGTGTGTCGGAAAATATGGAACTTGGCCCCAGCTCTCAGGCCTCTGACAGGAGCTCTGTGCGTGCGCAGCACGATGGCGTGACCCAAGTTCAAGTTTTCTGAGGGGGTGGGGAGGTGGTTAAAGGTGTGTAGGGAGGTCTGGCCTCTTGTCCTCAGGACGCCAACCCCTCTCCCAGACATCACATTTCTAGGTAGAATGTGGGGAGCAGATCTGTTCAGTTTCCTCCTCCTCCACCTCTCAGTGGGACAGCAGAGGGAGGAAGGGGAATTCATGGTTACTCTCCCCTTCTCTCATCCATCTGGACTCCAGATCCCCACATCCTGGGGAAAAACGGAATCGGAGCCCAGAGAGCCAGTCTGCTTAGAAGCCGCAGGCTAAAGGGATCTCAGGGAACCCTAAACCCTCACCCCACCCTTGGGGAGGAGGGGCCAGACTTCCCAAGACTCCGAGTCCCTCAGAAGCATGTCTCCACTCTTGGGTGTGGTTTTGGGGGCTATGGCTTCCCCCTCAGACTGGGGTCTTCCTGAGGACAGAGATTAACCTCCAATAGATGTTCACCCCCACTGCCTCCCCAGAATGCTCAGGAGGAGCTGACACAGAGAAGCTTTTCTCGGGTTAGCAGCGGGGCAGGCTCTTGGCAAGGAAGGTTTGAGCCAGATGGGCCTTTTCCAGGGCAAGCTCTTCTGGGTGCTTGCCTGTCTGCCACCCCGCAGTCCCCTTCACAGGGACGATTCTGACAGGGGACAGCCCCAGCCCAGCTTTTGGCCCATGACCTGGGCCAAAGAAGCTGTCCCTAGCCTCATTCTCAGATCCGCAGGGACTCCCCCCAAAAAGCTGTAGGAACGACCCAGGAAACCAGGACTTTCAGTGCAGTGCCTCTGAGGACTGCTGGAGTCTCAGCTGATCCATCAGTATTTGCTGGCTGCACTAATCGCCCCACCTATGACTTGGGGGCCTGTCTGGATCCCGGCTTCCCCAGCTGTTAAATGGGCACAAGCCTCCCCCAGAGACTGCTGTGAAAACAAATGAGAAGTTGGAAAATATTTTTGGAAGTTAAAATGTTAGAAAAATAAAGCCAATAAATGATGATTATTGTTGCTATTACTGTAATTATTGGGTTTGAATACAATTGCTGTTGGTAACGGGAGGGAAGAAGGGAGAGAGGGAAATGATTGAGAGGGAGGCAGAGAGGAGGTTTTTCTCATTTCATCTGCTCCTGTTACAGGGGCCCTGCCTCCTTCTCTGCTGGGTGTACTGACCTGGGAGCTTTTTTGTGTGGGATGAGTGTATGCGGAGCTTTGCGGGGAAGGAGGGGGAGTTGGGGGAGGGACCCTGGAATGAAGAGGCAAGCCAATAAAAGTCAGTTCTCTCATCTCTATGGCGCCCATCACCATGGTATTCTGAGATGCAGCAACCAAGTTCATAAAATAGACGGGTCCTCTTCCACAATGTCTCCAAAGGGGCTGGGGGGTGGGGGAGGGGCTGCCAAAATCTTCCAAGGGCTGGGTGGCAGGGCCCAGCCTGTGGCCAGGGCAGTAAGTAGGCCCCGGTACTGGCGGCCACAGCACCACGCTCCGTGTTCTGTGACATTGTCAGCACAGAGTACTACTCACATCTCTCCAAGCCGGGCCGCACTCATCCATCTTCACAATCTCTCAGAGCCCAGGGCTTCTTATGCCCTTTCATGAGCAGGGACAGCTGGGGGCAGGGTGTGTGTGTGTGTGTGTGTGTGTGTGTGTGTGTGTGTAGAATGGGATTAACTTGCTAAAGGTCACCCAGCTCAGTTCCACAGCCCCCTAAGGTCTCCCCAGCTCCCAGCTTAGAATTTTCCAAAATAGCGCTCCAGGGGGACTTACACAAGCTATAGCCAGGGATGGAAGGTGGCAGGAACTAGAAGGATGAGGAGGGCAAGGGGTGGGGAGGCCTCTGAGCTCCCAGACAAATGATCTCTGCATCCCCAGAGCCGAACACACACTGGGTGCTCGGTAAGTCTGATGAATGAGTGACTGAGGCTGGGTGGCTGGGAGGGAGGGGAAGTAGTAATTGATCAAGAGGAGAATTCGGTAGTTACATCTGCAAATGAGCCAAGATGACAGCAGCTAAGAGCCGGTGCTTGCTGGCAGGGGTAGCTAGGAAGAGGACACAGTCACTCTTGAGCCCCCACCCCTACTCCAGAGCCAACTGTGTAACCTCTGTCCCAGGAGCTTCGGGCCAAAATGGTCAGAGCGATGGCCTGAAGGGTAAGGGAGAGTGAGGGGGCTACTTTCACAAATGGCAGTTCTGTGAAGCTGTGCCCTCAGAATAGCCTGGAGCAAGCTTTGTGAGGAGTGAGGAAGTAGGTTAGAATCCGAAGAGCATCCAAAGTTAGACAAGAACGTGTAACCAAAGGTGAGCTTCTCCTCCTCCGCGGCCCTTTCGAAGGACAGCCGGCCATCTGTCTGGATGAGGGAAAGGCTGGCCTCTGGGAAGCCCAGGCTCAGCAGCAGTTCCAGCGGGGGCAGCAGGCTTCACATCCACAGCCCCTGGGCTTGGGTGGGAGGTGAGGAGCGCCGGTGGGGCAGAGACCCAACCAGGCAGACCCTTGGTGTGCCTCCCTTCCTCCCATTTGTCAGGGGAAGTTTTTAATTAATGGTGTGTAATCTGATCTGGCCCTTCTCCCTGCTGAGTGCTGCCTTCAATCAGCAGAGCCATCTGCAATTGCAATTCATAATTCTCCCCAAAGGGAGGGGGACTCCTGACGGGTGCCTTGGTGATTAATACAATTAGCCTTTTATGTTGATGATTGTCTTAGCAGGACAGATGATGCCAGCGCAGGGCCCAGGCTGGCACTTCCCCATTGGTTGGCAGGAAGCCCCTCTCCTCTTCCCACCCCCCGCTGCTACTGGGGTGTAAAGAGGACAGGTCTAATTTGGGACCACATGGTAGAAGGGGGAGAGCCCACGAAAGGCCAGGTTCTGGGACACATTTGGGCTCCTCAGACTGAGGGTAACCCAGAGACTTATTCTCCAAAGAAAATAATTTTGGCCTAAAGGATTCTGTAGACCAAGGTTAAAAGGAGAAGACTACATGAAGGTGGGCCAGGGGGCGCAGGGGCTTAAATGCAGGCCCAGGCCCTTACAGCTGTGTGCACTTACGGATCCTGAGTCTCACATTCCTCATCTGGAAATGGGGTCTGTCCCTAAGAGGGCTAGAAGGACTACGTGGAGTGCATGTGTCGCGCGTCACGCCTGGCACCGAACCAGGTCACGATCAGCAGCAGCAGGTTCTACGCCCTTGCAGTGGACTGCCATTCCCTCTGCCAATGAGTGTGGCCGTCTGCCCTGTGGTTTCTAATGCTGCCCAGCTACTAGTAAAAAAGGGGTCACTTACTCCTGGTATCCCAGGCTTCGCTGGAGCAAAGAAGAGTGTGAATATGAGAGTTGGAAGAGGAGGATCAGAGGCAAGAGGAGTCAAGAATCAAACCCAAAAGTGAGAAATGAGGACCTTAGAACAGAGAAGTGGGGCACTAGTGTGATGGGGTTGGGGGAGACTCAGGGAATGAGGGTAAGGAGGCTTGTAGGGGGGTGGGTAGAAAGGGGTGAAAAGAATTAGGGCTTGGAGCATCTGGAATTTCACACAACAGCTAAGGAAACAAAAAGGAGCGGTCATCATTGTAACTCAGGGTGTAAGAGGCAGCGCAGACCAGAATCTGTGATGTCCGAGCTACAAAGGGGTCAAGTGACCTGGAACAAGGCGACCCCTTCCTTGGGGTTTCAATGGAAGAATGGGCTGGGTCAGCAGAGGGGAACACCTCAGTCCCTCCGGGCCCCCAGCGCTGCTCTCCAAGATCTGGAGCGGCAGAAGAGCGCTCCTCTATCACGAGAGATGTTAACCTCGGCCAGTGCCAGGCCCGGCAGCAGCAGTGTCAGGGGGAAGACGGGGACCAGGGAGGTGAAGGGCTGATCAAGATGAGGCATCAGGGGCCAAGCTACAGCCACTCGGGCAGCTGGGGCAGGGGGTCCACACAGCCAAGATCTGTGATTGAGGCTCAGGAAGCGCCGGCTACACTACGCATAGTCACATATTTAGCAAAAGCTGCGGAGAGAAGGCATAATTTGTGAAGGCTGATTATGAGGGTGGGGAGTCCAACGGTACTAATTAATATGGAGCAGTTAATGGGCAGAAAAGGAGCGCATGAAAAACTGTTTCAGAGTTTTAAGTCAGATAAAGGGGCAGTTGTTGCCAGAGGCAGAGGCGGAGACCAACAAGCCGCCCCCCCCCAACCCCCCGGGCAGATATAACAGGCCCGGCCAGCCAGTCAAAGGAGAGGCCAGGTCCTGACAGAGGCCAGTGTCTGGTTAGGGCACCCAGGCTGGAGGCCCGTCCTTAGCCTGGAATGGGCTTCCGGTGTCTCTAGCTGCCCTGCTCCTCCTGAGGGCCAGCTTTATGTCTCACTTTCCAGGCTCTCTTAAGCCTCCAGCTCCCTCCCTCCTCTGAGCTCCCGCAGCCTTTAGCACCTATGTCCAGAGTTATTTGAACACCTTTCTCTTCCAAACAGGAAGACCTTCTTAAACAAAATGTTTAGTCTACTTCTCACCTCAGGGCAATAGCTTCCTTAACCTTGTCCTTTCCTCATAGGTCCCCAAACCATGGCCTCCCAGTTTCCAGGGAGGAAAAGCCCTCCCTGCTATTGTGGATTTGGTGAGCAAATTGGACAGAAGATTGCAATAAGCACTGCCAAGCCCCTGCCCAGAGTGTCTAAGGCTTCTAACCTCTTTCGAGGTAAAGCACCCTGAGTGCTTCGGTCCTAGACTGGGATTTCAGAACTCCTGGCCTCACCGATGACCAGTGGCTTTCCCCCCTTGTCTGACTCAGGGCCACAGGTAGTGGCGTGGGGGTCATGACCGGGACAGATGTTGATCCTGTCCTACAGGACATGCTCCGTGCCCGGTGCCCCATGTCCTGGACCTGCGCTTCCCCTTCCCTACACTTCAGCTTCCCTCGGACCTGAGGGAACTCCCGGCGCTAACGTCCCCACAGCTAAGACACAGGTCCCTGGCCTCCATA